TGTAACACTGAAGTCACCTGTGGGGGAAACAAAGGTACTGGTAAGGAGCTGGATCAGTTTGGTGTAGAGTATTAACTATAGGCATGGACTCAGTTGTTTAATTCAAAGTATTTTGTGCCAGAGTGTAACCCAGAAGGCAAGTAATGATCCCAATTTTTTTGTTCTGTATGTAAACAGATAAGGGAGAGGGGTTTTTGCGAGCTGTAGTTCTGTAAACAGTGTCCTTAATTGTCTGGAAAGGTCATGAGAGCATGAGAAAATGTGAAACTATTTCTGCTCGGAGCATGAAATGAATGGGGAGTAAATCAGTGATTCTGATGTGGAAGAGTTGTGGGTACAGCCAGGGGGATTGCTGGGCTTTATGGAAGTTTATGAATGTTTAAGCTAGAAATTCTAAGATGCAAAAAGAAATAATTTTATTCTAACATAAGAAGTGTGGGTGACACGACTTCCCTTAGCCTGGAGAACACCCTCTCTGTGTTCATTAGCTTTGCTTTCAGAGGCATCTGCTTGTTCAGAGGGCAGCAGCACCTGCCCTCAACTTCTGCTTCATAACCGTTTTCATTTAAAAGTCTATTTTATTGCCTAATAAAGGTTTGGCTTCTAATTAATTTTGTGTGGTTCTAATATTGCTGTAAGGGATCAGCAGGGCTCTGGGTGGTACATTCCAATAAATACTTCTGCAGGTAACTGAACCAAAGGTGGCCCTGCAGCTGCATTCCTGGGCCAGCTGATGGGAGCAGGAAGGGCTTTCACAACCTCTCACAGCTTCTTTGTCACTGGAAATCAGACATTTTGGCATCTCTGCTTCCCACTCAAAGTTCTTCACGCCTTGTGATGGGGAAGGTTGGCTCAGCTCAGTGTTTATTATTTTCTGTTGCTGTCTATTCTGCTTTTTAAAAGTGCCTCTATTCCCTTCTAAGTCCCCATCCAAATGGGGATTCAGACTAAAGATCCATCTTTTCTTCTGGGCTCCTGTGGCCACCCAAAGCTGTCTGAAATGTAGATTTTTCTGCAGCCTCTCCTGAGTATGTGGAATCACACAGACACTACAGATACCTGTTCTCCAGGGATTGTTCTTAATTTGTAAATGCTACCATGAGCCACGTTAAATCACTGTCACCGTGCCTCCTCCTCTCCTCTCTTGGGTTTGTAATAAGGACTTATTAGATAATGCAGAAATTAGAGGAATAACACCTAAATTCATTAAGCAATAAAATTAATTCACGACCTGTAATTGTATGAGCAGGAGACCGGTAATTCCTGTTCCCTCTGGTTTCACAGAAACTCCACCCTGGCAGCGCTGGGGCAGCTGCGATGTCGGGCAGTGCCCGGTGGGGCAGGACAGGGAGGAGCTCAGTGTCGAGCTCGGGAGCAGCCTGACCTCTCCGGGGCTGCCTGCGGCACCTTTCCCACCGCCTTTGGTTCTGGACATCTCGTAGTTTCCTGCATCACCTCCAGACCATCTGGAGAAGTTTTAGTGTGCTCCAAAGTCTCCTTTGCAGAGGCCGGTCCCGGCGGTGGGAGCAGGAACCTGCGCTCCTGCCGTGTCTCCCGGTGCTGCTGCCTGCTCTGGCATTCCAGTCATTCTTCTCTTTCTCGCTGCCTCTGATGAAGTCATCACCTCTCCTTCTCTCCTTCCCGGCTCGTTCCGAGTGCCATGGCATGTGCGCTGCTCACCAGCACGGCTTCCTTCTGGTGAGTTCAGGGAGATGATTTCTCCTCGCTGACTTCTCTCCCAGCACTCAGGTTGGACCTCCCTTTCTTGTTTGGAGCTGGAGCAGGTTCTTATCAGGAAATCAACTTGCTGGGAAGTGCCTGCTTGTTGTTATTCCTTCCAGCGGCCTCACTTTGCTTTTGTTCACTGTCTTCCACTGGCTGATCCCTGGAATTGTGTGAGAGGGGGGGAGTGTGAAGAGAGATGAGCAAACAGGACTCAATGCATTTGATTCTCCATAATGAGAGCATAATCCTGATGAACTCTTGGACTAGCTGGGATTCACAGAAGTAGGTAATGCAAATGGAAGAACACCTCACTTGCTAAGTGAAAAGTAAACAGTAGTAACAGCTGTTTGTGTTTGTTACACATAACAGCCTGCTTGGAGCAGTGTCTGAGAAGTGGAGTCAAAGGAGCCAGTGATGTTGGGTGGGTTAAACAAGAGTTTGGGTGCCAGGAGCTGCTCACAGCCTGTTCTGCTGCTGCCCTGGAGCCTTGGGGAGATTGCTGTGCTGCTCCATAATGATTCCACAGCATGAAAAACAGGCATGGCAGAGTGGAGTGAGGATTAATTATTCTGTCAGTTCCAGTGCCTTGAATTAGTTAACAAACCAAATGTGTTTATTACTGTACAGAAAGAGACTCAGAAATACTCATAAGCTCGAGGTCCTAAATTAATGTGCAGTGTTTGCAGTGCTGTGTATCCTCTTGGCAGTGGGATATGTTCAATTTAGAAACCTCCTGGTGCCTTCCACAGCCAACAATGTGTTGTTGGATAACCTGGGAGAGCTTTCAGGGGCTTGATCATTTCAAGGAAGTTTCTCTTTGAAGATCTTACTCTGCACAGGGGGAAACCCAAAACATTGCAGCCTTCTGGAAATATTTGGAAAAGCAGGAAGCCCTGTTGTTTGTTTCTCTCTCTTCTGTGTTGTATAACGTGGGTTGGCCCTGGGCCCTCTGTGCTATTGAGAGGTGACACAGAACTGCCACTGAATCTGTCCAGGCAGAGATGGAAGTTCAGGAGAGGTTGGGAAGAAAAGGCCAAAATCAGACACTGAATCTGATCTCTTATAGCTTGCTTATTTTATGCACAAGTGGGTAAATTTGACAGAAATCACAGAAAATAAGGCTGGAAGGAATTTCAGGAGGTGTCTGGTATCTGTCTGCCCCAGGAGAGGGCAGGGAAGGAAGCCCAATGTCCCTGACCCTCGCTGGGCAGGGAGAGTTCCCCCTCTCTGGAGCGTCAGTTCCAGGGTGTAACTGTCCATGGCAAGATGGGACTGTTTCCAGTGCCTAACCCAAATATCTTCTGCTGCAAATTAAGACATTTCTTTCTCAGCCTCTAGTGACTGTGGAGAGTTTTTATTACTGGCTTACAGTGCCCTTTTCCATGGCCCTGGGCTTGCTGTGGCAGCGTGGCTGATGCCAGGCCCTGGGCAGAGTGACCTGGCCTCAGATGGTGCCTCCAGCCCCGAAGAAGTAAAAGGGCACTTAAGCTTTTATATATTCATACTGCTCACCATGTAAAGCTGCTCTGCTGTACATTCCTGGAGTTACTAATTTACCTGTAAGCTATTTTTATTAACCTTTAAAACAAACAGCTCCCCCCACGTCCCCCCCAACACCCACACCCACCCCTACTTCTGGTTATTTCTGGTTTCTTACAGAGGGTTTTGTAATGTGTCTCTCCTGCAGTGAAACCCACAGTGCTTAAACAAAGCTAAAATGGAGATTTGACTCCAAACATTTCATGAACCATAAGTTTAATAATTACAGGAGGGTTTAGGTGTCAAGCCATCTCTGTGTTTGGTCTGGGGTCACACTGATGTTTGCTGGCTGTGCTTAGGGGATATTTTAATGATGAAGTAAGAAGCTAGGTTGGGGGACTGTTACCCCGCACAGGTGCTTTCCCTCAGTGCTGAGCAGTGTTTGGGCCAGGAGGGAGCACGTGGTGAAAATAATTTCTTGTAGCTGCCATTCACATAATGTCATTGTTCCTGTTTTCTAGCCAGGTGTGTGAGAAATGCTTTAAACAATGTTGATTTTTCTGGTCATTAAGAAAATGCAAAGCAGCTTCTTCAGTTGTCATCTCGAGCTCACTTTCCAAATGCTGTAATCAAGTAGTTTCTTTATGACAGTCCAAAAACAAAAGAAAGCTCAAAGGAATGGAGTAGGAGCCTGAATCTTCTGAGAGGAGATGACACCAAAGGATTTTACTGCTTGAGATTCAAAGTGCAGCTTTCTGCAGAGAAAGTGCCCCAGACATTTGAAGGCTCAGCTGCAAGTTGGGAAGGCAGTGAGCTGCTGGTTTGGGCTGGCTTTCACACAGGTTCTGTGGCAACCAAGGACGATGTCACTGAGCCAGCACCTCACCCCATCCGTGGCTGGAATCTCAATCTGATCTTTTGAAATAGTTCAAGACACATCTCAGGAATTATTGGGTGGAATTGCTGGTGTTAGTTGTTTCTTAGAGTCAGCCTTGGGAAGGGCAGAACTTTGCTGAGGAGACAAGCTCCATGGAAATGTATGGCTAAGGGGGTCTCTGGAAAGGTTTTGGGAAGGGAAGCTTGTTACAAGGTCTGAGCATCACTGAATGGTAGCTTGGAAATAAATCTGATTTTCTGAGTTCCATGGTGCTTTCAAAGAGGGTTTGTAAACTGAGGAAACACCACTTTACAATGCTGTAGCTGACCTGTCCTAACATCTTTCTAAATCTCCTCAGTCTTGAGCAGAGTTGTTCATTTTGCCTTTTCAGCCCCCTCCCTTCCTTGCCAATGGGGAAGGAGGTAAGTATTCCTATCCTCACTTTATATTTTAGCAAAAGCAGGATTTAATGATTTTTTTCCTGGTTCCAAAGCAAATTGCTAGAGGAATTAGAGAGGTAGCTTAAGCATCCTGTGCCTCTAACCCCATTAGCAGTTTCCCCGAGGAGGATCAAATCCACAAGTGCACGAATCTGTACTTTGCATATAATTCTCACTCATCTCAATACAGTTTCTGTTTACTCATCTGCAGACTGGAAATAATGATAATGCCAACCTGTCAGGCATTATCTGAAGCTTACAGTTGTATAAAAAATGCTAATTGTTGAAGGTGAAAGTCTTGCTGATGGAATGTTGTTCCAGGCAGCCCGGGGAAATGCGAGTGGAATCCATGGGGTTGTCGCGCTGGCTCATTCACAAGGACATCTCGGGGGCAGACACCACATTTTGCACGGCCTGCTGGCTTTCCTGGGCTCCCTGTGCTGCTGGTTTGTAACTGTCCCTTGTTTTGTGTCCCCCAGAGTCCCCCCCGGAGCGCTGTGGGCAGAGGCGCAGCATGCCCAGCGGCATCTCGGAGAAGAACCCCAGCATGGAGCCTGCGGCCACCACGCCCTTCAGGGTCACGGTCAGTGTCTCCCCTCTTCAGTAGTGGGGTCCTCATGAGTGAGAGCCTGGGGGGCTGCCAGAGGGGAAAGGAACCTGCTCACCCTGAGAGAAGTGCTGCTGTGAAACTGGGTGCTTGTTTGTAGGGAAGTGGGGTGCTGATAGATACTGTTAGCAACAAGCAGCTGTCAGATATATCCTGGTAGAGCAGTAGGGTTTGAATGGAGTCTGGAGCTTGGGAGACTTTCCTGGAGAGGTTTCCCAGGTGAGTCCTGGTGCAGTGTATTCCTGGGTGCATTTACCTGTCTGCAGCTGTACAGTGTGTGCTCACACTCCTACAGAGAGAAAATCTCCTCTAGAGGAGCCTGTCATTAACTCACGGGACACCTGCCAAGCTGGGATTGCCCAGAGCCTGGGATCCTGTCCCAGCAGGAGCCTGCAGGAGCCATCCACTCTTTCCATGGCTTCAATCCCCATGCCTTGAGATGTGACTGGTCGTTCACTACCACGACTAACAGTGGTCTCGGTGCTCCATGGGAAGGGCAGTGCTGTGTCTATTGGCAGACAGGAGCAGGGACCCCAGGAATGGGATGTGTCAGTGCTGAGCCCTGGCTGTCACTGCCCAGTGTCAGCACAGTGTGAAGAGTGTGAGCACACACTCCCCTCCCTGCTCCCTGCACACATCAGGTGTCTGGGCTGGCTCTTCTTGCACACAGCTATTTTTCTTCAGAGAACACACAAATAAATGGTCTTGCAGCAGGTTTGCTCCGTGCTCAGGTTTGCTCCAGGTTTTCTCTGCAGGCCACACCTTCTTTACAGACTCAGCTGCTGCTTACCAAACTCAGGGAGGCAGAACCAGAACTTCAAAGGATAGACAATGGTGCAATCTGAAAGAAAATAATCTGAGCACACCCAGTTCACCTGAGAACATTTGCCCTGGTGAATGAGTCATGATTGGAAGTTTGGACAAAGAGTTTATTTTAGTTCTAGAAATTGTTCTTCCAGCCATCAGAACCTATTGATCTCAGTGAATGAGTATCCTTGAACCTTAAACTACTGCTGGTTGGTGAAAATGGCAAAACATGATGGGAAAATCTGGATTCTTTACAGGACAGAGGATTTGGGAATATTTTTCTTAGTGTCCCTGTAGTCAAAGAAAATAAAAAGCTGTTTACTCCTTTCCAATGGCATATATCCTGCTTTTTGGGTTTTTTGAGAAGCTATTCCAGCTTTGAGCAGGTCAGCCCCTGGTGGTGGAACAGCTGTGGGATGCAGTTCCTTGCTTTGAGCAGCTCTGTTACTCAGTGTGGATTAAATAAGGGCAGCCATCACACGGGTAATACATGACATTTGTCTTCTCTGAGTTCAAATCCACCCTCATCTCATTTCTCCCCTGCTCCCCCTCCGAGTGTCACTGCATTAATATGAATGGCTTCATTAGGTACAGTTGGTGCGGCTGCCCAGCCTTCAGCAGATGTCTGACTTTAGAAATATATTCTCCCTCACCTTCCTTCATTAACCAGAGGAACATTAGCAGTCAGTCCACTCCAGCCACTGGGAATAGTAATTAGTGCCTTAGTTTAGTGGTAATGGGATTATTACTTTTGAGCCTGCTGTTGTAGGTTTGGAAATTGTAAGCTTTTCATATTTTACAGCTGATTGTTCTTCCCTGACATCTCCATCCTTCTGCTGTTGAGTCTCCAAGGGCCTGGGAAGCTCAGGAGCCATTGGATTCAGCTATTTGGCAGTGTTGCACTCCCAGTTGCTTTGTTTCATTTCAAAACTAGAGCAAACTAGGGTGGAAATTTGGGAACTTCCCTTGGGACTTCTCTTCCCATACAGAAGTCTGTCAGGCAGGTTACAGATAATTGGGCATTGTGGTTTTTGAAAACAAGAGCTCCTGGTAGTTTTTGAATTATAGAATATAAACCTTGAAAATCAAGTCTTCAGATTTCTATATCTCAATATGTGACTTAACTGTTCTTACCCCCTCTCCTAAAAGAAATTTTTAATGAAGCTTCTTAAACTTGGAAAAATCTCCTGTAGTCCTGGTTATCTCATGCTGTACAAGAATTATTTTCCATGTAAATCCCTCCCTTCACTTCCATGCTCTCAGAGCTCTGTATGAGCTGATGCAGAACGAGAAATTCAAGGCTCCAACCCAAGTGATCCCTGAGCTGAGGTCCCTTGTCCTGAGCCTGCTCTCAGAGCCAAGTGTTCAGATTTTAATCTCCACATCCAGTGGGCAGCTGGCAGCAGCTGGTGACGCTGCAGGGCTGGAGACACCAACGTGTCCCTTCTCTATGGCCGTGCTTAAAGCCTTGCTTTTAGGAGAATCTAGAGAAGCATTTTGCCTCTCTGAGTTGAATCCCAATAGTTTGAGGTGTGAGATGGGTTAAACCTGAAATTTGTGGGGTATTTTGACAAACTCAGGGGCCAGAAGCTGGGAAAATCTGCTGAGTGCCAATGAAATTCCTCTCTGTGCCCACCTTACAGGGAAGTGGTGCAGGGGAGGATTTGCTGAGGCTCAGTGGGGAGGACTCACTCCCATCCCATCAAGCACTGCCATCTATTGACTCCTTCTGTTAGAGCCCAATTTACTTCATTTGCTAGGAAAATATCTCAGGCCAGGCAAAATCCAAATTGCCAAAAAACTTGAGGAAGCATCTGTATTCTGTCTTTTACTAGACAGAATTTAGGATTTCTTTCTCCAACCCTTTAATCCTCAGTTCTAGCATTAATCATTTGCTTTCCAGGAGCACAAAAAACACTTTAGTGCTTCTTCTGCTTGAAGCCACATGGGCTCCAAAAATCCCCCAAAACCACACCAAAACACAGTTTTTCTTCCCCTTGTAACATGAACTTGTTTTCCTGCAGTTTTCCTGCCTGTTTGGACTCGGTACACAGCTGAATTTGCAGTGATCCATCATAAGCTACTCTTACGGCATTCCTCCATCTATCCTGGTTTTAATCCTTGATAAATGAAGTATTAAATACTAATGGCAGTAAATGGAAACTCCTGGAGAGATGAAAGTGAAGAGCCCTTCTGCCATTCCTCTTCACTGAGCATAATCCTAAATAATGGGATCCCAGTTCAAGCTGCTGTGGACAAGATATTGAAGGATTTTTTTTTCCCCCCAAGTTTTTGCATGTGCATAATACACACTCTATTTTCCATTTAATTTTTTTTTTTTTAAGGCAGTCATGTAAATTATATTATAATGATTTGACTTTGGAGAATTTATGTTCCTGTATTATGTGGAGAGTGGAATGGCACTTCCCTCGGCATGATCACCCCTATTTAATTGAAATGTAATTGTTTACTAAACCATTGCAGCTCAAAAGGAAAATTACTGTCATTTTGGTCTGTGGCTGCATACATTAAAGTGCCCCTTTTGCAGGGATTGAATTTAAAGAGAATAGAAACATTATCACAGATGATATATAAACATAAAGCCATTATCATTAAACTGTCAGCTGCAACTGACTTTGGGCAACCAGCGTTAGTGGCAGCAAGAAATATGGAAATTACTTGGAGAATGTATCTGTCAGTTCAGTCACTGCTTCTGCAATAGGCCATGCTTGGAAGCTTTGGGGTTGTGAACATTTTAGGGATTGGAAGAAAAATGAGGTCATTTGGAGGCTTTGCAGATATTTCCAGTCTCCCTGGTACTGCTTGGCAGAAATCAGGAGGGCTCATCTGGCCCTCAGAGGGATTTTCAGGTACCCAGCACCCAGACCTTGTACCTTAAGCATCCTTTGTGGATGGATTTCCAGGCTCTCCACAAAGGTGGTTCATTCTTACCACCCTCATTTTCCAGCTGGGAAAATTGAGGGAGGGAAAACTTAACTAACTTAAATTTGATCGTGCTCCAAAGCCCAAAAATACATCCTGAGCTGAATTCCTTCATTTCTAATTCCCAATCCTGGTGTTAACCACTAGCTAAGCTATTCCTAATTACCTCTCTGAAATCCTCCTCAGTTTCAAGAGAATTAAATATTCTCCAAATTGATGCTGTAATGTGAAAATGAGTAAGAGGGTTCCTGGACTCCCAAGTCCTTGTTCTTAGGGCAGAAATGCTTCGACTTTTTTACTTTCTCTGCCAGCACCTCATATTGTCAAATTTCCAATTGCTTGCTATTTGAATTAGAGCCCTCTGCCTTATTTGTCTAAGTCATCTTATTAAAATAAATCTGTGAGTATTTTTGATCTTTAATTTTTTGCTTGTCCTTCAGGAGACATGACATAAATTCTAGTTAAGGTATGAAGGATAAATTTCATTTTGAAAAAGGGAATCTTTTTCCCCACTCAATGCTCCCTAGCACAGGGATTGGAAGGTGAATCTGACTAATAAATATAAATATATTTCTAATTCTTTGAGTCTGACCTTGTATCTTGATTATTTTCTAAGTAAATCTGAAATTTCCAGTTGGGGAGTACTGGAAGACAGCATGGTCAGAGATAGGAAGGACTGTCAGATTTCAACACAGAGCTGCAGTCCAAACCACTGAGGATTTATGATGTGCATCAAGCGGGAGACAAGAATGACGGGATAAAAGACATGGTGCTATGACCTGCTTCACTGAAAGGGGCTCAGCAAGGCAGGGTATGGATTTTTTCCCCTTTTGAACTGAGTATGTTCCAGGGAGGTCTCTTTGTCAGAGCCTGCAGCTGTCTGAAGGACAGTTTTAGAGAAAAGAAGAGCATAAGGGCTCATCAACAGCTTAATTCACACACTGAGGCCATTTCTCTATAGAAGTACGAGTGATCCTGTTGTAGTTTTTGTGGGGTTCTGGCCTGCATTTGATTGCTGCCACATGGGGTGGCTGGACAGCAGAGGCTTCCCGGGGCAGGGCTGGCTCTGGTGGGGCAATGAGGAGGGGATGGCAATGACCTGGTGCTTCTCCATCTGGAGGAGGCTTGTGAGGATCCTCACAGTGCCCAGGCAGAGCCCCTGGGTTAACCTGCAGCTTCCACCGAGAGGGAAATGCCACAAAGCAGTGAATTTCTGTGCCCCAGCA